ATAGCAATTGTAACTTTACATTAAAACAAATAAGATAACTATTGCCTAATTAAATATGCTCACAATTTTTACTAAAATTATTATTATAATAATTATGAATACATTTCTAACTTTTGCTGCAAATACTAACGAAGAAGGTTTATCTCATTGCTTAATAGTAACAAATATGACCAATAATTGACATATTGTTAATTATTAATGATTTTAATAACAATAAATTTATAAAAAATTATATTTTAGATGCAATTAAAAGGTTGAGAACAGAACTGTTTAAGAATCGGGATTACAATCCAATGATAATACCCGTCAAAAAGTGGAACAATACTATTAACGTTTTAATAAGTTATGCTTTACGTAAAATCATTGATTTGGTAAACAATTAATTTAATCAATTATAATATAATTTATTATAATTTCTGATATTTATTACATAATAGGATATTAATTCCCAGATACTGACGACTGAGGGCTGGTTTTATATGACCTGGTATTGTATCATAATTGATTATAATTTGAATGTAAAATTTATAATTTATAATTAATATGCAAATAATGGCAATATTTGTCTACAGGATTGATGAGCATCTGATATGGAAAAAGGAAGATTATGGTGGAATCGGTACCATTCGTGTCAAACAGGATGAAGTGTGGATACCCGACATATTTTTATTTAACTCGGCGGACGTGGCGTCAATCAAATATAATGTGATTCAAACTAAACTAGTGTTATTTAATAACGGATGGTTGGTTTGGGTGCCGCACATACTATTCAAATCTATATGTGAACTGGACTTAACCGACTGGCCATACGATCAGCACAATTGTGGCATAGAGTTGGTCACGTGGTATGAGGACGGCCTCACTATCAATATATCTGCGGGTAAAATATTATACAGTACCCCATTGTGTTGACCTATTATAATACTTATACCTTATATTAGACTCCAAACTAATTCTCAATCACTACTGGAAGAGTGAGGAATGGGATGTCTTAGAGACCGAATCGGAACGATTGTCATACGATATATCAGTTACAAACATACATTACCCGGACATCACATTCACAATGAGATTGAGGCGCAAGACATCCCTCTATCACTACACGGTCTTCATTCCCGTCACGACTGCTGTTATTCTCAATCTATTGATGTTTTGGTTTTCAATCCGATCAAACGTCAGATTCCTGTTGTCATCTCTAAGTCTATTACTTCTAACAATCATTTTATTATATTTGGGATTAAAATTTAGTTTCGGAACAAACACTATGCCATACGCCGGTATATATGACCTCATGCTTTTATATACATGCACTTAAAAATTTTAAAACAATGTAATTAAAATGTATTTCTCAGTTCGTTATATAAGTCGAATAATATTAACAATTGGTTTAACTCTGGTTTGGACTACAATTGCACATAACGTACAGAATCTGAACATTCAATTGCCTGACGTTATGAGACGAGTGACGGCTACCACTCAATGGCTTGTCGTCTATTCAGACAATGAAAACAGCGATACAATTGGCTTAACAAATGAGGATAACGTTAATACTAATCCTAAGGATAAATCACTTGAGATATTAATCCTATTAATTGATAAACTAATGTTCGGAATATTCTTTATTGTTATTATTTCATTACATCTTTAAAATAAAACATAATTGATAAATATGTTTACAAATATATAACAAAATAACATTAAGGAATGGGTGTTTTGCTGGAATGCATAACGTTTTTTAACGTGACATAATATAGTGAATTAATAAAGGTAATAAAGAAAATGTAACAAGT